CTCAGGGGATCCTTCTGCTTCAGCCTTCCAAGTAGCTGGAACCACAGGCGTGCACCACCACACCGGCTAATTTTCTGATTTATTGTAGAGACAAGGTCTTGCCATGTTGCCAGGTTGGTCTTGAACCTGAGGGCTAAGGCAATCCTCTAGCCTCCGCCTCTCAAAGTGCTGGGATTACAGGCATGAGCCACCATGCCTGGCTGACAGTTCCTTAAAAGTTAAACATAAACACACTCCACAGGCTGGCAACTTCATGCCTCGGAATCTGTCTACAAAGATGGAAACATCTGTCCACACACAGTTATGCACACAAATGTCCACAGCAGCATTACCCCCAATAGCCTCAAGTTGGAAACAACCCCAATGTCCACCAACTGACAAACAGTTAAACAAGTTGGTGTCTATCCATACAACGGGATACCATTCCACAATAAAAAGAACTACGGATCCACATTGCAGCACAGATTAACACAAAGACGTATGAGAAAAGCAGCCAGCCCCAACGACCATGTAGTGGTTGAGTCCATATACAGGAAATCTCCAGAAATGGCAACTCATGGAGATAGAAAGTAGATCAGCGGGTGCCTAGAGCTGGATGGAAGCCGGGATTCATGGTACATGGACAAAGGAACTTTGTGGGATGACAAGAATGTTCTGAAACAGGTGATGGTCACAAAGTCCCTTATGTTTACTCAAATCATGGAACTGTACACTTTCAGTGCTACGGTAGGCAAGTTATATCTTAATAAAGCTGTTACAAATAACAAAACAAAACCTGACGCCAAACCATCATTTTATCCCCGACTGGGAAATGGTGCCCGAGGGGCAATGATAGTAGTGTCCCCAGCAAACTGCAGTGCTGTTGCTGTGAAGTATCTAATGTTACTTTCTGATCTCATCTGGTTGTGGAGTCTAATAACAGCAGCTAGCTTTTACTGGGCACCACAGTTAAGAGGACAGTACTAATATCATCCCGTTTTCCAGATGAGAAAATAGGATCAGACAGGGAAGGGGGCTTGCTGAAGGGCCCACACCTGTGAAGTGGCAGAGCTGGGGCTGGAACGCCGTTCTGCCTGCTTTCAGAACCCGTGCTCTTTGCCTCGGATAGCTTCTCCTCTGTCTGCCTGCCCTTGCCTCCCTGACTCGGATCTCAAGGGGTAGAGCTGGGATTGCTTGTGCAGGAAGAGCAAGGGCCCCAAGCTTCTGGGTCCTGCTGCAGCAGGCAGGTCTCTGGCACCAGGGAGCCCAGTAGCCCCTAGCCAGTAAGCAGACCTCTCTGAGCCTGTTTCACCAACTGTAAGATGGAATAACCACGGCATCTGCTTTCACGGGAGCCTGTGAGGACCAACTCAGTCATTCCTGTGTGGCAGGTGGAGGGAGCCCAGAGACCATGATGCCCAGAAGCAGCACATTCTGGTCAAGTAGCACTGACCAGGTGATAGTGGCCGCTCTTGTCTGGAGCATGTGGTTACAAACACCCATCTGAGTGTCCTGGAGTTTAGTGGAAGTGAGCCACGGTCAGGGACAGAGATGATCCCAGGTGCCTGCCCAGGTGCATGTCTGCCTGAGCTCTGCGTCGGGAGCTGCTGTCTCCAGGGACCATCTGTGCAGGGACCTCAGGATACCACTCAGCCTGCCCCGTGTGTGGGCACAGCCCTGCCTGGCAAGAGCTGGCAGCAGTCTCCTGCCCTCTGGGCCTCGGCAGACAGAGGTCATGGTCCCCCTCCTGCAAGGAGCGTCGCTGATCTTTTTCTTCCAGGCCGAAGCATGAAGAGGCCATGCAGTTATTTGAGGAACGTTTTCAAAGACTGCCCGGCGAGCTCAAGGGGGCTTGAAGATGCCCTCGCACAGGAGGGAGGAGACCCGTACACCCAGAGACCTCGTCACAGGAGGGGGAACCCACATACCAGAGACCTTGTCACAGGAGGGGGGACCTGCACACCCCCTCGTCATGGGGGGCGCAACCCAGAGGCCTCATCACAGGAGTAGGAAGACCCCACGCCCAGAGGCCTCAACACAGGAGGGGGAACTCGCACACCCAGAGGCCACATCACAGGAGGGGGGACCCGCACACTCAGGGGCCTCATCACAGGTGGGGGACCCCACACCCAGAGGCCTCGTCAAAGGAGGGGGACCCACCCACCCAGAGGCCTCAGCACAGGACGAGGAACCCACCCATCCAGAGACCTGGTCACAGAACAGAGGGGACCACACGCCCAGAGGCCTTCTGTGTGAGAAGCCAGGGCCATGGGCGCAGCAAGGCAGAGCACCTCCTCTCCCTGTGTCCCCCCTTCCAGGCACCCTGACCTTCTACCCGTCCAACAGGCCAGGCACACACGGCCCTCCTGGCTTCAGCGAGGACTATTCTCGCAACTGTGAACACTTTTCCCTGCACACCAGTCTTGCTCTTCCCTTCACCCCCCTAGGTCTTTGCTCAAACACCACCCTCAGGGTACGCCCCCACCACCCTATTTTGCATTGCAGCCCCCACCCAGCACTCCCTTCCTGGGCCTCTCTCTTAACAGCACATATTGCCATGTGACACCTCACCTACTTCACCTGACTTGTCCCAGAAGGTAAGCTCAAAGAGACGGGAGATTCACCTGTCTAGCGCCCAGTCTAGAGTCTGGCATGGGAGGTGGCCACTGACGAGTCCATGAAGGTGCAAACTCCCCTTCAGAGCCTGGTCTGTCAATAGCAGCTGCCACCAATGCCAAAACCCCAGGGAGGATCGCCAGGGACCAGCTGGGACGACCAAGGGCCCATCTAAGGAAAATGAGTGAGAAGTCAGTCAACGGACCACACAGCCTCTGCAGAAAGCCACAGTGCTGGTCCCTGAGGGGCCTGTGGCCCTCCATGCCCGCTTGAGTCATCTTCTGGGAGGCTGACATAGGGCACATGATGCCTCTGGTATCTTACGGATCAGACAGGAACCCGGCGCGCATTGGCCAGAGCACCCCATTCCCGAGGTCCTCTGCAGGTGCCATGTTCACATGCTGGGAAGCAGGAAGCCCAGACAGGGCAGGGCCAGGGCACCGTCGCAGTGAAAAGAGATACTGTCCCAAACTGCCTCGTGCAGGTATCACTGGCTCAACTTAGAGCCACCCCCACTGCCCTGGGGCCAGGACTCGGGTGCAGCCATCACAGGGCTTCTCACCGCAGGCCCGAGGGGAGCCTTTGCTCTGGGGCCACCCAAGAGACAAGAATGTTGGTTGGGGTGGTGGCAGTGTTTCTGGATTACTTTCCCCAGCTGGAGGTGGCCGAGGGGAACTAGACGCAGGTGTTCACAGCACAGTGGAGTCTGACAACTTGACTTTGAATTGCGACTCAGCCACTCTGCCATGGGCAATCTCTTAACCTCTCTGAGCCTCAGTTTCTGCATCTGTCAAACGGGATAGCCAAGACATCTGCTTCATGGGGTGGCTGTAAGGGTAAAGCTCGATCATTCCTATGTGCTGAGCCCAGTACCTGGCATGCAGCGGGAGCTCAGTGAATGCTAGATCTTGTTGCTGCTGTTGTTGTTGCAAAATAAAGGGAGAAAGGAAGTCGGCCTCTAGCCAATGGGCTCGGCCGCGGACCTCCAAGGTTACAAGAGTCCGGAGGCGGTTGAATTTGCCAGTAATTAAAGGACTAGAAACACAGCCTCTCTCCTTTGGGTTTTAGAAAGATGTAGACTCAAGCAAAAGCAGCCCAGATGGAAACTTGTCAGCGGCCATGGGAATTGTTCCAAAGAGGGGCTGCCGGGGCTAGAAGTGTGACTCTGAGGACCAGCAAATGGGACCCTAAAGCCACTAAATCCCCGAGTTTATAATTAACAGACATGCTTTGCTCTGCCTGTGCTAGAGTCGTGTGGCTCACTGGGGAAGGGCACTGGAGTCACACAAAAATAACCCCCCAGTGGGCTTTTGATGTGTTGAGCTTCTTTGTTTGTCCGAATGTTAATGAAGGGCTTTCCAGGCGGTCGAGGAAGCACCAGGCCCTGTGTAGTCCAGGTCGGTCGTGGCCGGGGCGTGGGCCTGACCCAAGGCCGTGTCTAGGAGGGCGGACAGGGAAAGGACCCTGTCCTAGGATGCGACGTCTTGAGGAGAAACAGAGAAAAACAAAAACAAAAGCCGTCTCTGTTCAGGGAATGGGCTGCGCTCTGCTCTCAACTGCCGTGAGACTCGGAAAGCAGGCGGCTGCGACACTTGGGGAGGCCTAGGAGACCTTCTAAAGGGAGGAGGATGAGGAGGGGGCAGCACGGACCCCCGAGAGTGCTGCTGTGGCGTTTTCAAGACAGGTTGCAGGAAGAGGGGAGAAAGGAGAGCCTTGCTAGAACAGCCACCAGGCCAGGTGTGGTGGCCCACGCCTATAATCCCAGCTACTCAGAAGGTTGAGGCGGGAGGATTGCTTGAGGCCAGGCGTTGAGACCAGCCTAGGCAACATAGTGAGAAAATTTGCCGGGCGCGGTGGCATGCACTGATAGTCCCAGCTACTTGGGAGGCTGAGGCAAGAGGATCAGTTGAATCCAGGAGTTGGAGGCTGTAGTGAGCCATGATTGCTCCACTGCACTCCAGCTTGGGGCAGACTGTGACTTTGTCTCCAAAAAAAAAAAAAAAGAGAGCAAAAGACTAGCCACCACACCCTGATGCGAAAGAAGGACATGTTGCCTCAGCATTCCTTGCTTTCTCCACAGTAGTTGCCCGGGAGCAGGGGGTGCAGGGGTAGAGCAGCTTCACTGATGAAATCAGAGCGCACAGGCACCCCTGCAAGGGAGGCACCATGCCAGGCCCAGCCCCAGCAGCCAGCGGGCGGCTGCTGACACCTCCCGAGAAGTGAGCCACTTACAGCAGGGACGCCCACCTTCTCCTGACTCCGGTGTCCCCTGTGCTCTTCAACAACGTGGAGTTGAGCTCCCACCAGATTGCGGCCCCTTCCCTGGTGGTGAGCTTTCCAAGAGCAGCGGGAAAAAAAATGGAAAAGACAGTCCAGGAGAATGCCAGTATTGCGACAGATCGATCCAGAGTGGTCTATGGAAATACTTATTTTTATTACAAAAAAATAAATGTGTTCCATGTACACATTCTGAGCTGCTTGCAAGCTTCTTTGGTTTTGGGCTTGCTGTTTTCATGCCCAGAGCACAGGTGCCAGGCTCAGGGGAGCCTGGGCTGTCCCGTCGGGTCTTCCTTCTCCAGCTGCACTGGGTCCCACTCGCTGGCGAGTTCTGAGGACACCTCGGTGTACAGACGGTCCCAGTCCCAGGCGACGAACTCCTGCCAAGAGGGGTATGGCTGGGTGAGATGAAGGAAGGCCTTTCCCAGGAAGGGCTGCTTCCCCACCCACGAGGGCCTGGGGGCGAAGGCTGGCCTAGGGCAGCCAGACACATGGTAGGGCTGGGAGGGTGGGCGCTGCCACCACTGTACCTCTCGAACCTCCTGCTCTGGTGCCAGGACTTGAGTGAGAATCTTCAGATCGATGTCATTCTGTAAAGGCAAAAAAGCCAGTTGGTCCTCTTGAGGGCTTCCAGGCACCTCCTCTGGCACAGAGAACCTGCCTGTGTGTGTCCTGCTTCCCAGACTGAGACTGCAGAAATGCCCTCCCACGAGAATGACAGCACAAGTGGACCACACGGCCGTGGGGAAAAGGGGGAGGCTACATCCCCTGTGTCCTGGGGGAAAGGGCCCCACCCGGAGGGCTAAGTCTGGCGGCTGCACGTCCACAGGGACAGGGGAGTGGGTGCCATCAGGCGCCATGTGAGCAGCCACGGGAGTGAGTGGGAGCCCGGCCCTGGGGACCACGGAACATATGGGTCCAGGAAGTCTGTGAGATGCCCAAGGATAATGCTCCCAGCGAAGGCCAGGCAGCCCCGGGACCCACGGAGATGCTGTGTAGCTCTGGGGAACCCAGAAAGCCCCCTGGAGGCCACTGGCTCCCACCCCTCTATGCAGAAGCCATTGCACTCACCAAGGTCTGAAAGGCCGAGTACTTCAAGAGGTCATTGTTGAGGTCACGGTAGGTCATCACCCGGTTGATCTGGACACTGAAGGCAAGAGAGAGTCGGGGGAACCATAGGCAGGACCAGTTCCGGGAGTGCGGCTGGGCCACCATCCCCAGGGCCTCATGTGCAGCCAGGGATGGTCAGTGTGGGAATAACACGTCTTAACAAAACAGGAACCCCAGAGGGAGTCATCACCAGGAAGATCTAGACTTCCCTGGGGGCCAAGGTCCCCTGCAGGTGGTACCTGAAGCCATTCATTCCCTTGTCCTCCAGCTTCCCACCAATGGCATGCTAGTTTAACCCACCTGGGAGGCACTGCCACCTGCTGAGCAAAGTCTTCTTCCTGCAGTTCTTCCAGATCCGGAATAACAGGAATGTCTGCAACAAGAGGCAGAAGTCAAGTGTCCGCAGCACGAGCAGAGGTCTGCCCGCTGCTCCACTTTTTTTTGTTTGTTTGTTTGTTTTTTTGAGTCGGAGTCTCACTCTGTCGCCCAGACTGGAGTGCAGTGGCCACTCCCGGCCACCACAGCCTTGACCTGCTGGGCTCCGGCGATCCTGCCGCCTCAGCCTTCCAAGTAGCCAGAATTACAGGCTTGTGCTACCACGCCCGGTTGATTTTTTGATTTATTGTAGAGATGAGGTCTCACTGCCCAGGCGGGCCTCAAACCCGCGGGCTCAGGCAATCCACTCACCTCAGCCTCCCAAAGGCGTGGGATTACAAACTGAGCCACCGAGCCCGGCTAACTTCTTATGTGTCTACCCGCAACCCGCTGGCTGTGGACTGGGGCGGGAAGGACGTGCAGCCACAGTCTTTTCTTCCAGGGGCTCCCCGTCTAGGGCCATGGTACAAACTAGGGGTGCACATGAGCCAAAGCGGACTTTCAACCATGTCTGAATCCCAGGACTTGCCCCAGAACCAGAGGTGGGGCTCAGGCATTTTATGTCTTCCCAGGATTTCTCTGGTGATTGTGATGCCCGTGCCAGGTCAGGAGTCACTGTGGGGGGGAACTCCAGGGAGAAATGCAGAGGAGAAGAGACTCCAGCAGCACTTGAAGGAGGGTTTACATCAGAGGGAGACGAACCAACGTGGCTGGAGGCAGAAGAGCTGAGAACATGGTCACAGAGTGGTGTGACTATGCCAACCACCACCTGTGCTCCCAGATCTCCACGTGGACTTGCTCCGGAGGGTGATTGCCAGGGCTCTGAGCCTTTATCTGAGGACATTTGCCACCTAATGCTACAACAAAGTCCCCAGCAAGGCCTTGGGTCAGGGTCTCCACCAGCAGGTCTCATGTAGGGAACGGTGCCAACCCTAAAAAGCATACTTCTCTTGCTGTGACATGGACATTTTCCTTCTCTCTACTCTCAGACAGGATTACAGACCACATGTGAGGAGGCACGGGGCCGTGTGTGTCATCAGTCCAACAAGAGTCATGCAGAGAAACCGAGAGCCAGCAGATCACCAAACTCTGGCAACTTGCTTAAGTTACCCCAAATTTTCTGTCTTCTCATGGGACAACTTCACACCCTAAAGAAACATTTCCCTCTCCAGATGAGTGTACTTGACTGGTTGAGAGATTTTGTTTTACCCAACCAGAGAAAGGGGAAGAAGGAGGAGGAGGAAGAGGAGGAATGGGAGGGAGGAGGAGGATAAGAAGAAGAAAGAAGGGAGGGAGGGAGGGAGGAAGAGTGGGAGAAAGAGGAGGAGGAGGAAAGAGAGACATGAGGAAGGAAAAAAAGGCCAAGTGGGGTGAGCCCATCCTGGAATCCCCAAACCAACGGCAAACACAGAAAGAAGGAAAAATCCCAGAGAGGAGAGACACGCGAGGAAACACCTCCTTTCTGCTTCCTGTCTGAATTCCACTTATTTTTAAAGGAGGCAGGAAACCAGCCTGAGAACAGTTAAGAAGACCCTGGCTGCTTCAGGTCGTTCGTTATTTGGACTTGGTGACCACTCTAGCCAAGCTGTGGCAGCGTGAGCAGGTGTCAGCTCCGGACCTGGTGTCTTTATCACCTGGATGTGGAGTCACAGATGTTGAACCTGGGAAAAGAGAGCAAGCATGCGAGGGAGAGACTCAGACGGAGAGAATGAAGCAGAGAGGAAGAGCAAGAAAAGGATAAAGATCGGAAAAGAACGAAACAAAAGACACAGTTGACAGTGAAATGAAGAGACACATATACCACCCCCATAACTATGAACCATGGTGGCAAGTTGTGTGTCAAGAAAGCGCTGTCCAGAGGTACAGATGATCTCGCTCTGTCCCGCTGGAGAACAAGAGGAATTATCCAAGAGTCTATTTCTTTTGCTACAAGAAATTCTAGAAATTTAGATGGCCCCACTCGTTCTGAGTGATTCATAGTCCACAGTCAGCACCCCCAGGATGGAGAGAAGGCGTGGATCTGTGGAAGGACTTTGGGGGTGGGGGGCTGGTGGCTGTGCCACACGCCATTGTAGTGTGACAGTCTTGGAGAGCGCCTGGCTCTCCTCGGGCATGGAGTCCAGCCTGAGATGAATATTCAGAAGTTGGTGAGAAATGCCCCACGCTGAGTTTAGGGCTCGGAACGGGGTCTCTCCCACCTCTGCTCCCCCCACAATGTTGGCATTTGGGTCCTGTCACTCTGCCCAGCTCCCCGGAGCTCCGAGGAATTGCACTTCTGCCCAACATCCACCCTCACCCCCCAGGGCTTCCCTCTCCGCCCACACCCCCTCCTCCAAATGTGCATGGAGAGTGTGGGGCTGGCCCATCTGTGACAGTTCAGAGGTCAGCTCGGGCCTTGGCAGAGGGGCCGCTCGGAGTGGCGCTGGAGGGGCCGGCCACACAGTGGGGATTTCTCTCTAATTGGAAGCCTGGTGCCCAGCCCAACCCGGTGAGCCGCCTGAGTGGGACAGAGCCAGTGATGACAGCCAGGCTGCAGTGAGCTGGAGCATCCGGTGCTGTGACAGCTTGCGCCGTGGCAGCAGAGGCAGGCCGTCCAACCCCGGCCCAGCGGAACGGGCAGCCGCAGAGCGGGCTTGGGCAAACTTCAAAGAACTTCATGTACAGTTTCTGATGTACAGTCCCAGACAACTGCTTATGTACATATAATGTGTCCCAGGGAATTCCTTTTCTCTCTTGCTCCTTCCCTCCTCCAGCCCTCTGTCTCACATATACCACTAACAAACACAGAAGAAAGGAAATGGACCTGAGGAAGATGCTTCTTCACAAAATCAACTACACGGGGTGATCCAGCTCGGCCCATCGTCAGCAACAGTGACCTGACCCGCAGAGGGGGACTGATGACCCAGCCTGATTCAGGCTTGACATACAAAGAACACAATTTTAACAGAAATAGTAAGAGAAGACAGAACTCAGCGCTTAGTGCTGCCAAAAAAACTACCAATTTTTTTTTCTTTCTTTTTTGAGTTGGGGTCTCACTCTGTCATCCAGGCTAGAGTGGAATAATCACAGCTTACTACAGCCTCGACTTCCTGAGTAGCTGGGACTACAGGTGCCACCACGCTAAGTTTTAAATTATTTTTGCAGAGAGAGGGTCTACGTTGCCCAGGATGGGCAATGAACTCCTCGCCTCAAGCAATCCTCCTGCCTTGGCCTCGCTGGGATTACAGGTCTGAGTGACCATGCCCAGCCTACCACCATCTTCAAAAAGTCCCCCAACGATGTTTACTTCATTCTCTGTTTTGCTGTGCTTTTACCATAAGAAGTGCATTCACAGTGGCAACAAGGTGCATGAGGTGTGGCGGGTGGGCTGTCTGCCCAGGGTTACACGTGGAGGCTCAGGGCAGAAGGATCAGGTCCAATCTCAGCCCCACCATGTACAAGTGTGCACCTTTATCCTCCGGTGCTTCAGTTCATCCCTCTGTAATATGAAAGCCATACTTCCTCCCACCTCATCCAGCTGTTGTATTAAGTGCAGTGATCATTATAAAATCCTAAGCACTGCGACCAGCTGATAACCACTCTCATGGCTTTAACCCACATTATGACAAGGCACATGCAGAGAAATTCAGGGCCCCACCTTCATTCGCTCATTTCCTCCTGCTGGTGGTGACCATTTTCCAGACGAGAACACTGAGGCCAAGCATAATTGAGCAGCCTGCATGAGGTGAAGCATGAGTAATGGCCGAGTTGGCTTTCCACCCCAGGGTGGCTGTACCGCCAGTGCCCTGCCACGCCCCACACGGGCTTCTCACACACACGCTGCCTTCCAACAGCCCCACGCCTGTAGCATAGGGGTGAGACAGCTGCTTATAGTCGGGACATCTCCTGTGACACCTGAGTCTCGCGTCATATTCTGGGGTGTTTCCCTGGGCTCCAGGAGCTGTAAATAAGCTGAGTCCTCCCCTTCACCGTGTGCCTGACGCGCTCCCTCTCCACAAGGCTACATGGAACAGAGTGAAAGCCATGAGCCCACACCAGGGCCTGAGATGCTGTCCCCTCCCCCTGCCTTATCACACTAGCCCCAAGGAGGAAGAGGCAGCCGGGCGCCTTGAACAGCCCCAGAAAGTGGGCAGCCGCAGCCATAGAGCTATGGTGCTCCAGCAGGGGAGTGGGACCCCCAGCTCTCATCTGGGTCTGGGCAGGCAATACCATCCACACAGCGTCACTGCCTCTGTCCAGCTCTGACTGCTTCAACAAAAGCGTCTTTCTTCGTAGTACCCGCCTGCGTCCGCCTCATGCTGGTCGCCACACTAGCTGCTCAACCCGTGCTCTGCCCATGTGGTGCCCAGCTAGCCACACCATGGGAAACTTCATTTGTCTGTCTGCTTGCTCATTCATTCATTCATTCACTCATTCATTCATGGAACAGTGACTGAGCACCCACCCTGTGGATGGTGCCGTGTCAGTAACACCAGCAAACAAAACAGACATGGGCCCGTCTTTAGGGGCACCAGTCTGGTGGAGGATAATCAATACACATAAGTTCACTGCTTACAAATCAAAACCCATGCCAGAAAGGAAACAAACTTGGTCTCACAACAGAAAACAACAGGGAGACCTCATTGCTTTATTTTTCTAGAACAAAAGTAACATTATAGGCGGTAATAGATTCAAATGCCATAGAAAGGTTGAAAGTGAGAAACGCCCCTTCCTTCTGGAGGCTCAGGGACCATCACTGGGAATGGTTTCTTGCATAGATTTACTCAACAGGCCTTTGCACTCACCACATTGCGTGGCGTCCCCTGCCACACGCGGCTCTGCAGCCTGCTGGCACCTGTCCTCATCAATGCTCAGATGTACCTTATTCTTCTACATGACCTTCTAGTAGTCTCTTGAGTTTACCATGGGCGCTCCATAATGCATGCCATCCCACACAGAGGGAAATGGCTTTGGGGGTGGGGTGGGCACCTAGGGAAGGTCCTTCTGAAATCGGCTCGG